CTTTATAAAGAATATTTTTGAGATGATCAAAACACTCGATAATTATGTCACCATTAATTGCATCAGCTCCGATACCCAGACAGCCTCCCGCTAGCGGCCCAATGCTGTCCCAGTTCAGCTTGCGACTACGCCGCAATGACGGTTGTCGATTACGGGCCTGCATCGAAACAGCAATTGGGCCAGCACCGGCCCGCTGCCATGGGCCAGCATTGGCCCGCAATCGTTTGCCAGCACTGGCCTGTGATCGTTTGCCAGCACTGGCCCGGGATCATTTGCCAGCACTGACTCGCGATCGCTTAACAGCACTGGCCCATTATATATTACCATTACTGATCTGTGATCATTTTCCAACGTTTGCTCGTGGCCGCGTGTCATTACTAAAGCGTTACTTTTTACTAATACATTAGGATAAATGTATTATCCCGCATGAATCAAACAAATAAGTACTTTTCAAAATTTATTCCAAGTTATATCGAAAAAAATAAATAAGTATTTTCAAAATTTATTCCCAATCAAAAGTGAGTTAAAAAATAATGAAATAAAAAATAAAAAAATGTTATTAAAAGTTCAAATTGTTATTTATGCAAATAACTTTTCATATAAAAAACGTTCCTTTCGAGGTTCTCAAGAAACCATCTCACAGATAAACATCCATTGGAACGATGATATGTGTTTGCTTGATATGATTTACTTTTTTATTTTAATATTGTTATTATGAAAACTCTATACTTTTAATTAAATAATTTTTGTTTTGTTTATTTATTGTTATTTTTTAATGAACTATTTTAGTTTTATTGTTTTTATTATAATTATTGATATTAAGATTATTATTTTTATTAAATTATTGTAATTTTTTTTTGCAGTAATTGTTTTAGTTACATGGTAGGTTGTTACGTTTTGTTTAGTACACAACTGTTTGTAACTTTCCTGTCTGTGCATTATATTTAATTGTTGTTTTAAAATTAATATTGGTTTATTATCATATAGTTTTATTGTTCTTATAACTTTTATTATATCATAATTATAATTATTTGTATTATTCTTATCATTATTTGTATTTATTATTTGTATTATCAATCCTATTTGATGGTATTTTCTTAAGATTAGTTTCTAACTATTTGTAAATGACCTCGATTGTAAATGACCTCGATTGTAAATGACCTCGATTGTAAATGACCTCGATTGTAAATGACCTCGATTGTAAGATCTTTTATCGAAAAATATATTGATTGATTGATATCCATTTTACACGAAAAACAGACACTGAATTTTTTTTTCATCAATAATTTTAAAAATATGATAAAACTTTTTTATTGTTCTCATAGAAATAAAATATATGCTAAATGTAGTAATAAATTGTAATAAGTGTAACTACAATTGATCATTTTGTTATATTTGATAATCGAAAAAAAAAATAAATTCAGCAAAAGAAATTTGATGTAATTTATATGATCAAAGTCATTTTTTTAAATTACTATCTATATAATGTATTTTTACAAACAATATTAATATAATAACGTTATTATTAAAAAAAATACTTGAGACACAACATAATAAATAAAAAAATAAATAATAAAGCACTTTTGCTATCAAGAACAAAAATAAACAATGTACAAACCTCAACAAACTATAACAAGTGCAACAAGATACACTGGAATAAATTGTCATTTAAAATTGCAACATGTTCAACTTTTTCTAAATTTAATGCTTAATATTTCTAACAGACTTGAATCATTAGGATAAGTAAGAAAATTTGATTTCGTCAAAAATTATTAGTACACAAATAGGTCGTCTCGTCAAAAATATAAATACTTTTAACTAAACAAATTTTGTTGTCTAACACAAATATTGCTACATATTACTTTAAGATAAAGATTTAGTAAGTAAACATTATATGATATACACTATATACATACACATGTATATGATATACACTATACACATACACATATACAATATACACATATACTTATACATATAATATATGGGTAGGTACAATCGGCAGAGCAGAGCAGATTGGCAGAGCAGATCATTGAAATATTAATAACGGCAGAGCAGATTATTCAATCAGCCGTTTCCTAATGTGTGATCTGCCAAATAATTCGGCAGATTATATAAAAGAATTTTTATAATGTGATTGCCAAATATTTTTATGAAAAACGATGCACTTCGAATAGAATGAACTATGAGTTGACTTTTTAATCATAAACGTTTTTTATTGTCGCAATACTTTTCCTAAAAAAAAGTGATCTGCCGTATTCTAATGTGTGATCTGCCAAATATTTCGGCAGATCATAATGCAACCGGAAGAGCAGATTGGCAGAGCAGATCATTGTAATAATAATAACGACAGAGCAGATTATCACAGACAGACTTTCAGCCGTTTTCTATTTTGTGATCTGCAAAATTATATTTTAACAATGCGTGATCTGCCAAATAATATTTGAATAATGTGTGATTTGCCAAATAATATTTGGAAGATCACACATTAGAAAACAGCTGATTAGATAATCTGCTCTGCCGCTATCAACATTACAATGATCTGCTCTGCCAATCTGCTCTGCTCTGCCGATTGTACCTACCCATAATATATTGAATATAGTATAAATATTACAATAATATTTTTGGGAAAGAACAATTTAAATAGTACAAGGGTTTTTTATAAAAACAAAACAAAAACAAAACAACATATATATATATATATATATATATATATATATATATATATATATATATATATATATATATATATATATATATGTATATATATATATATAACAAAATATACAATTAAATTAAAATTCTTTATTTAGTCGATGAAATTGCAGTTTTTGAGATTAAAATGTTTTATATATTATAATAAATGAAAAAGTGTTTGTTAAAGATAGATATATCTAACCTTATAAAAAAAAATGTTAAAGTAAAAAATGAATATTTTTTTTAAAGTAAGATATATCTAGCTTTATTACCAACCGTGTTTTTTTTATTAAATTAGCGTTTTTTACATAAAAGTTATGCTGATATGATATCAGCATAACATTTATACAAACCAAAGTATAATAACCAAACATTTATACAAACCAAAATATAATAACATTTAGTTGTAATAACAAAATAAATCTAGTAAACGTTTAGTTTTGCTTTTATAGTACCATCATGGATAACGAAAAAAAAAAAAATTAAATAATGGCAATTATCGCAAAACGACATTCGGCCAAAACTCTGTATCCACCGCAATCGGGCCAGTGCTGGCCCAAAATCAAATACCATCGTAGTGGCTTACGACTATTCGCCACAGTTCTAAGCAGTTCTAAGCAGAGTTATAAGCAGCCGTGGCGCAGTGGTAGCGCACTTGCCTCAGAAACGTAAGATCCGTGGTTCAAACCCCACCTCTGGGCAAATTTTGCGACATCGGTTGGGAAGGAGGCGTGAACTTCCAATTAAATGCTCTTTCGCGGTGCTCTGTGATAAGACCGTGAGGACTTCTTGGGGCACCTTAATCAACTTAAAAAAAAAAAAAAAAGTTCTGCCATTTCGTCGCACAACGCTGCGACTTCTTGCAATGATTTACCGTAAATAAAAAGTTGCTTGCATCGCTTGCCAGACTCGCGCCAGTAATGGCCCGTTACTATTATAGTCGCAACGGCGTGCGATGATTTGCCAGAGTACTAGCCCGGAGTCGTGTGCTGTCTGAGTAGCTTTTTTTTTTTATTGATTTGAAGGCGATTTCGAATTCATCAAAAGATAATTCTGGGTATATTTCTTTGGTTCAGTTGCAATCATCCATTGGTACTAAGAAATCATTAAAGGCGACTGCAGTAAAGGGAACTTTATTAGCTAATTTAGGGCCGATTTCGATAAAGTATTTATTAAATTCGTTAGATATAGCTTTTGATTCATAAATACTTTTGTTATCAACTTCTGGTGTGATATTAATAAGAACATAAGTAAGTTTGACACTTTAATATGTTTTATTTACCAAAAATATATTTATTATCCAAAATCATTAATTTTTCATAATTATATTAATATTATATCTCAAAATTTACGCAAGTAGACATCATTATATTATTGGTTACTATAAAGTTCTTTTTTCTTGAAAATTTTTTTTGACGCGAACGCTCGTGTTTTTGACTGCTCTTCAAAAATATTAATTAAAAAATGGAAATAACGATCAAAAATATTGAAAAAATTATTACCAACAAGTTTGAAGAACAAAAAAGAACTTTGCTTAAAGAAACAGAAAGGTTGTTAAAAGACCAAGAAAGGAATTTCACACAAATAATGAGTGGAAATATAAAAATTATTACTGATAGACTCGACAAAATAGAAAATGAATTAAATAGTAACAGAGTAAACATGCAAAATATTGAAAAAGACTTGAACGATGTGAAAGAAAGTCTTAACTTTCAAGAAGAAAAAATAAAGGAGGAATTAACACAAATAAGGAAGAAATATGATCTTGAAATTAAAAATATAAATAAAAAAAGTACTGACTTAGAAAACCGCTCTCGTCGTAACAACATTAGAGTCGATGGTCTGAAAGATTCACCAGAAGAAAGTTGGAGCGAATGTGAGAAATCTGTGAAAAAAATATTTACAATCAACTTTCAAATTTCAACTGAAATTACTGTGGAACGAGCGCATCGAATTGGATCGTATACACGATCGTTGAAAGAAAAAGAAACCATTTGGAAGACCACCATCAGTTAATAAAGATGTTTGGACAAGGAAATCAATTAATGAAATATTAGACAGTTTTTCTGAAATGCCTCGCTTATGCTATGAGTCTATCAGTATAGTTAATAACCCCCACAAAGATTTATGCATCTGCAAGATTTGTAAAAAAATATTTCATCGACCTGTTTTACTTAATAACTGCCAACATTTATTTTGTGCTTCATGTATTTTTCCAAATTTAGTTGGAAAATTAGAGACAGAAGCAAAATGCAAGTTATGTGGCTCTAATATATCTTAAGGTAGCATTTCAAAAGCAACAACTATGCAAAATATCCTTGAAAATATAGTTTTAAAGTGTTCCGAAAATTCATGCAAAAGTATAAGCAATAAGGAAGAACATGAACAAGTATGGAAAAGTGGAAACATATTACCCCAATGTTCAGCATTGTCTTCCTCTTCATTGACAGTAACAGATATTTACAAAATTAATACAAATAGTGATATTCCTAAAGAACTAGAATATGCATTTGCTCACTTTGCAAAGCTAAAAATGGCAAAAAACAATTCACATTCATTTGAACTTCCTTCTGGCGGTCCAAGGGTAAGAAATTAAATTTTTTTAACAAAAATATTATTAGTTAAATTTATTATAAATAATGTATTTGCATAAAGAGTTATTTTTTTCACTAATTAGGCTACACAGTTTTCAGTGACTACAAAGAGCTTTAAAACATCAACTGAGATTAGTCAGAAAACCATTTATAGACGTCAAAAGCAACTCCACCAATCGCTAATAGATAATGCAGGACCAACAAAAAAGGCAAAAATACAACAAGTAGCACTTATGCTCAATTCTTTTAATAAAAACAATAAAATTGATATTCTAAAAAAATCAAATCTCTCCCAAGTTGAGATAGGACCAGAAGATATTGTATCACTTAAAGCAGACTGTGGTTTACCTTGGGAAAAGATGAAAAAAATGATAAGGTATATAACATTATTTTAATAAAAATAAATTATGCATAAAACAATAATCAAGTTATTTCAAATTACAAATTGCATTTATATTTATCAGCATTTTGTTGTCTTTATTTTCTTTTTCATTTAATTTTTCAAATTAAAAAAACTTTTATATTTCAGATTTTTCCAGACAAAAAATGTCAAATTACCCTCACTTTCTAATCAACGAAAAGTTGCAAAATATTGGTCAGGTAACGATTTGATTGTTGAAGATAAAGAACTGCTGTTTGAATTAAAAAACAAAAAAGGAACTTTTGAATTGAAAGATACACCTACAGCATATATTAATGATTTGCCATCACATTTAATCAAGGTACTGGATCAGTTAGAAAGGTAAGTTCAAAATATAAGAGACTAATGTAATGTTTATTAATTCTTGTTAAATATGCAAGAAAATTGAAAATTGAATGTTTTAAACAAAACTCAAGAAGTGTAAATCATAAATTGTGCAAATTTTATATCTCTGCATAAATTGTATATATTTTTTTGTTATAAATATATTTTCTTTCTTTATTATCATAGATATAACCAACTAACATTTGAAAAGATAACTCCTAGTGAAATACATATAAAGATTGGTGGTGACCACGGAGGTGGTTCATTTAAAATGAGCTATCAGGTAGCTAATGTTGCTACACCCAATTCAAAAAATAATACGACTGTTTTCAATATATTTGAGGCCAAAGATTATAGAGCAAACCTCAAAATTTCACTCTCAAGACACATAGATGAAATTAGACAGCTTCAAGCAATGAAATGGAGGTGAATAAAAAAATATTTTAAAAGTTTATTTGGATAAGAAATGTTTGTAAAATAAAAAACGTAGATATTTTAATAAACTTTTATTTAATTTTAATACACTCTCATTTTAGGGAAAAATGTTTGCGTGTATTTATATTTGGTGATTATGTATTTTTGTGTGCTATTTATGGCATCACAGGAGCAACTGGTTAGCTTATAGTTTTGTATTTCTTTTAGCTTATATTCTTATTTTAATTACTAAAAATGTACACAAAGAGCATTAAAAGTAATATTATGAATATTTAATTTAACAGGTCGTCATTGCTGCTTATTCTGTGAAATCACATCAAGTGAAATGCAATTGAACATTGAAGCTAGAACGCGACCGATTCTTTTGAGAACGCTTGCAATTTTAAAATCAGATTATGAACGATTCAAAAATGATGGAGGCAATATCAAACGTGCAAAGAATTTCAATAATGTAATTGATGAGCCGTTATTTGATATACCAATTGAACAGGTGTGTGTTAATTGTTGCCAAAGCATTAATGCCAGTAATATAAATATAAATGCTGGTCTGTGGTTAGGCTACCCCAAACCAGGGGCAGCAAATTGTAGAGGCCCCTTTCCAAAATTTAAGTAGCTTAATTTAAGTAGTATTAAATTTGATTTATTATTTTTTTAGAAATACATTAAATAATTGAATGTTTTGAAGATTTTATTGTTATTAAGATTAAGATTGAGGCTGTGTTTTTTTAGGGGGGGGGGGGTCCTCTATATAATAGTATATACTTATATATAGGCACTATATATAAGTATATATAGTGTATATATATATACATATATATATATATATATATATATATATATATATATATATATATATATATATATATATATATATATATGTATATTTATATACTTATATATATATAGCTATTATGCAGTTGTTAAAATCATTTTATAGATAGCAATACCAGCTCTACACATCTCATTGGGAATATTTTTAAAATTCTTCAAAATATTAGAGGTAGAATGTCATCTCCTTGATATCAAACTAGCTGGATTTCTAGCAATAAATGATAAACACCTTGAATCAAGTGAATTTGACAAATATGTTGAGAAGCAGGCAGAGATACATCAATTAGAATATGATGTTGATGATATAAATACAAAAATTCTTCTTATTCAAGATACAATAGTCGTTGAAGTATTTCGCAGCCCTAAAAATACAGAGTACTTGCAGTTAATGTACTCTGAGAGAATTGCATTGTTAAAATCGAAGAGAATAGAAAAGGTATCAACATTAAATAGTACTGGAAATAATTTTGAGAGGATAGTTTTTTTTAATATTTCAATGACTGTATTATCTGGATTTTGTATACATCTATATTTATATTTAATTTTGAAGGAAGGAAAAATTCCGGAATGCTCAAAATTTAAGTTAATAGAAGGAATGGGGCCAATATTAAAGGAAATTGAATCTGTTTTGCAGTCATGTGGAGTACAACGTCAAGCTTATCACAGTTGCTCGTTCGTTGGAAATCATGTTCACAAAATGTTAAAGGTACATGTTTTTGTATACAAATCTATGTTTTTAGGCATTAAAATTTTGCCATCTCTGCATTAAATAATTTAGTTATTATTCCAAATAATAGTTCTACTATAATACCTATATATAATAGTATATATATATATATGCGTATATATGTATTTTATTTTTCAGGTTGATAACATAAAAAAGTTATGTGACTCAATTTCTCAAACAGTTTTTAATAATATAGCAGATAGAGAACATCCAATTTATATGGAGGCGGTTGACATACAGCAAAAATTTAAAGCATTATTTCACAAATATTCAAAGTGCGACAATGAAATGAATTCATGTCACTTATTCAACGAAGAAAATATAAAGAGTTTCGGTAATTTTTCATGAAAATTTTTATTATAGAAGTAGTTTTTTATTTGCAGAAGTAGTCTTTTTTTAAGGAGTATTATAATCTTTAATAAATAGTGATGAAGATATTTTGCCATATATATAAAATATATAGTATTATTATTATTATTATTATTTTTAATACTTGTTAATTTGTTTTGTAGAAACAGCTGTATGCGAACTAATGAAGTTTTTTAGAAGCACTTGGCTTAATGAGTCAATAACTCCAAAAATGCACTTGTTGGAAAATCATATTGGAGTTTTTTTGAGCACATGGGGAGTTGGCCTTGGGCTATATGGGGAGCAAGGTGGCGAGAGTATTCATGCCGAGTTTAATAATATTGGAAGAATATACTCAACCATGTCTGGTACGAGAAAACTAGAATGTATCATGAGAGATCATTTTATAAGAAATAATTTAATTGCGAGTTCGTTAAAACCGCCAATCGTCCCTCGAAGAAAAAAAATTATATAATAAAATTTATAGTTTATATATAATAAAGTATTTATGCAAATTATTATTATGCAATAATTATGTAATTATCAAATTTATTGTTTAATTTATTTATATATTTATTATGTTTATATAAGGTTCTTAAAGATTTCGAAATAGGTCGGCCCTATTACTTTACGATTAGTAGAAAATTAGCGAAATATTAGCCAACTTTCAAGCTTCAAATCTTTTTGTAAAAAAAAATGGCTGGTAAAAATAATATGCTAAATAATATAACTCAACCTTTATTCTTTCAAATGATATATAACACTTTTTTATAAAAATTGATCTTCGTAAGTTTTATTAAAGAATAAGACAGATAGTATAATCTGCGATAAAATCTCGGTTAACTTGACAAGTGAATTTAAGGTTCATGTGTGGTTTTTTTTGTTGTGATTTTTTTTTTTTTCTACTTGCTAAACTTTTAGTTGATAAAAATAATTTTTATTAATGAGTTTTATTTTATTCGTATCGTGTATACCTTAGATTTAAAATACCTCCAAATGCTCCGTTTTCGAGGCAAGTGAAATAACAGCTTTAGCTGCGCATATTAATTTAAGTAATGCGCCTGCGCACTATAAATGTCCATTGCGAAACGACCGTGTATAAAGATGAGAACTATCGTAGTGAAACTTTTAAACTATCAAGATAAAATTAAAATTTTAAGTTCACATAAAAACTTAAAAGGAAGTGGAGTATATATACAAGAAGACTTTGCTAAAGAGACGATGGAAAAGAGAAAGAAACTTTGGGAAGAAGTCAAAAATCTTCGCAACCAAGGTAAATACGCAACAATTAAATTTAATAAAGTTTTTCGTCGCGAATTTAGGAAGTTAGAAAATTTTTGCGTATAATTAAGAAAAATTTTTTACGTTAGTTTAATTCTCTCAACTAATGACTAAACAAACAATAGAAACGCAACACTTTAATGTTTTCAAATCTAAAGCATTTTCTTATAGAATGTAATTATTTGTTCAGCATAATTTGCTTAACAGAAACTTGATGTTCTGACGAATCATCCAGGATAAATTCAAACCTAATAATTCCAAACTACAAATAATTATCTTATAAACGAAAAATTCAAAAATTAGGAGGTGGAATTATGACATACGTTCATAATGATCTGACAACTAAAATTAGAGACGATCTTTCGGTTTCTGATGTCGATAGTGAGGTCTTTACAATGGAAATAATAAACAAAAAATTAAAAAATATAATAGTGCCCACCTGTTACAGACCACCCGAAGGTGATATAAAAAACTTTTCAAATCACCTAAAACAAATATTTCTAAAAAATGACGAAGAGCACAAAATATTATTCTGTATTGGTGACATAAATATAAACTGTCGACAATATAATGAAAATGCTGTAACCAAAAATTTTTTTGACAATAGTTTTCAACACTTCATCTTTTCTATAATAAACAAACCGACCCGGGTAACATTAAATTCAATCACTGCAATAGACAACATTTTGACTAATTCATTTTATGATTCTTCATTAAAAGCAGGTGTAATCAAAACGGATATATATATTTTTTTTTTTTTTTTTTTTTTTTTTTTTTTTTTTTTAGTTTACAATGTTAGTCGTGATACAAAATAATATAAGTCGTGATATATAATAATATAAGTCTGATACATATATAATAATATAAGTCTGATACATATATAATAATATAAGTCGTGATATATAATAATATAAGTCTGATACATATATAATAATATAAGTCGTGATATATAATAATATAAGTCTGATACATAAAAATATTTAAGACTTCTACAAGAAAAGAAAAAAAAAATGAGTATATATATATATATATATGTATATACAATTCAGCGTACTAACAATGTAAGACTAGGTTTCCGAAAGAAGATCAGAAGGATCTTATCACCGGAACCTTAAAAAAGACATAATGCAAAGATTTAACATAATGCAAATATGCAATATACTAATACAATATAACATAATGCAAATATACAATATACTAACATTTTAATACTCAATATGCTGAAGATTTGAAAAATACATTTTACATAAATTTTTAGTAGAATTTTAGAATGTTATCCATACAGAGAATGAAGTTTTTTAATTTAGTTTTAAAAACAGGAAGAGTAGTAGAAGGGTCAAAATTTGGTAATACTATTTTATTCCAAAGATGGGGTGCACGATATGCAATACAGAATTGGTTGAACTTCGTTTTACAAAATGGTTCATTTAGAAAACTATTACTTCTTAATGTGTATTTATTTATTGGTTTTAAAGAAAAAAGGTCATTGAAAACAAATAAAGATAAATCGTTTTTCCACATAAAAGTAAAACATAAAACATTAAATATGTTAAGTTTATAAACATCTAGTACATTCATATAATCAAAAAAATATTTCGAACGTGAAAAGCGATCCGCATAATTAACTACACGGATTGCATGTTTCTGACGGCGATAAAGATGTTGTAATTTACTTTTCTCCGTACTTCCCCAGGCTATGATTGCATAATTTATATAATTATGTATAAATGAATAATAGAGCTGGGTTAAGTTTTTTTTGTTTAGATAATTTTGAGCTTTGTATAAAATGCCAATATTTTTAGAAACTTTGGTGCTTATATGATCAATATGCTTTCTCCAAGTAATATTTTCATCAAGATAAACACCTAAGAACTTTATAACAGTATCTCTTTTTATTATAGTTTCATCAATGTAAATTTGAGGCATATTATTTGTTAAAAATCGTTTTTTTGCGCAGGAGTGAAAAATAATCCATTTTGTTTTGTTAATATTTAAAGTTAATTTATTAGCTTTGAACCAGTTCGAAATGTGTTTGAGTTCTTTGTTTGTAGTTGAAAAGAGTTCATAAATATCAGTATGGGATAAGAAAAGATTAGTATCATCAGCGAACATTATACTTTTCAATTTGGAAGCTTTGTTTAAATCGTTTACATAGATTAAAAATAGTAGTGGTCCGAGAATAGAGCCTTGTGGAACACCACAAGTTATGCTCAGGGGTTCACTTTGATAACCATCATTACTATACACAAGTTGCTTTCGATTTGTTAAATAGCTTTCAAACCATTTTAAAATTTTATTGTTTAAACCATAATATTTAATTTTTTGGATTAAGATGTGGTGATCGACCGTATCAAAAGCTTTTGATAGGTCAATAAAGACACCTAGTGTGTATTGAGATTTTTCAAAAGATTTAGAGATGTTATGTATAAATTGAATGATGGCATGTTCAGTTGAGCTCCCTTTTCTGAAACCATACTGATTGTTATATAATAAATTGTTGTAATTAAAATAATTGTATACTCTATTGAAAATAATTCTTTATAATCATATCCGATCACTTTCCGATATACTTTTCCTTTTTTCAAGATACAAAAAATAATAACTTTAAAATCAAAGTCTATAAACGAAAAATTAATAATTTTACTATTCAACAGTTTAAAGACTCACTATCGGCAATGAGGTGGGACAGGATTTACCAAGAATGCAACCTTGGGCATACCAACTCTGCTTATGAATTTATAGAAATATTCTTAAAGCACTATGATAATCACTTGCCTATAATAGAACAAGAACTAAAAGTAAAATATTTACAATGTCCATGGATTACTAGAGGTATAAAAAAATCTTCAAAAAAAAAAAAAAAACTTTACATCAAGTATTTAAAAAATAGAAATGAAAAAAATCTAAATACATACAAACAATACATAAAGTTATTTGAAAAAATAAAAAAAGTTCGAAGAAAAATTACAACTCTAACCAAATAAAAAAATGCAACTGGTGGCATTAAAAAAACATGGAATACGATAAAAGAAATAATTGGGAACAAAAAAGTTAAATCAAATAGTTTACCTGCTCAAATCATCATAGGCAATATAGAGTACAGTAACATAAATACGATTGCTAAAAAATTTAACGAATTTTTTGTTATATTTGCCCTAATCTTGCCTTAAAAAGTCTCCTAATAATTTATTTAAATCATACCTAAGTGATATCAAGAGCGAACTGAAATACAAAGAACTAAACTACCAAGAACTTAATATTGCTATAAATTCCTTAAAATTAAATAATACTCCAGGTATAGATGATATCTGTAGTAGGGTAGTGGCAAATGTCTTTACAACAATAAATAAACCTATATTTGAAATTTTTAAGTCTTCGATTAAAACAGGAGTTGTACCGGACAAGTTAAAATTAGCTAAAGTAGTACCAATATTTAAAACAGGTGAATCATACTTAATTAATAACTATAGACCTATCTCGGTACTTCCTACCTTTTCTAAGCTTCTCGAAATAATACCCAGCCGGCAAATAACGTTGAAATAACGTTGAAATATCGTTGAAACCTAACGTTGAATTAACGTTGGTTTAACGTTTAGAATGAAAGTTTTTTTCAACGTTGATTTATCAACGTTAAATCAACGTTAGGTTCAAACGTTATATCAACGTTGAATCGACGCGAAAAAACGTTACAATAACGTTGAATTAACGTTTAGAATGAAAGTTTTTTTCAACGTTGATTTATCAGCGTTAAATCAACGTTAGGTTCAAACGTTATATCAACGTTGATTCGACGCGAAAAAACGTTACAACAACGTTGAACTTACGTTGATACAACGTTTAAAATGATAGTGTTTAACGTTGATTTATCAACGTTAAACGACTGTAAAACACTTTTTCACCATCAAAACGTGCTATGTATGTCAAAATGTATATATGTATTTAAACGTGCTATGTGCGTCAAAATATGATCACCATCAAAACGTACTATGCATGTACATTAGTGTTGCTGTACATTATCAAGGTATATTATGGATATTAAATCTATTCATAGTCTATACTTAGACTATTTAGAACTTTTTCAGTTTAGTTTAGTTAAAAAAGCTAGGTATGATTAAAGAAAGAGATAAAACTTGTTTTATTTAAAAATACATATTCAAATATTACATATATTTACATGTAATTGAATAAAATCTACACAAATTTCTTCTCTTTTCCACCACCTTTTTGAAATAAAGCGTAATTTAGAAAGTCAAACAATGTTCCATTAACCGCGGGTTCTTTTGGTCCATTGAATACAATAGAAGAAGCTGTAAATAAAAAAAATATATTAAAAAAATCAAAAAGGGAAGATTTAAAA